CTTTAGTCTCTCTAAGCCATTGTTAGAATGGTAGAATGTTATGGTTAAGAGCATAACCCCTGGTCCAAACTGCCTGGATTCCTGTTTTGGCTCAGTTGCTTATAGCTGGTCCTAGGCTATAGGTCTTAGCTATAAGCCTCAGTTTCCTCACATAAACTGGGAATAATAGTGCTTTTAAAAATATGTGTCAAGTGCTTAATATACGGAAAATGTTTGCTACTCTTCCCTCGATATATGGGCAGCAACCCCTTTCACTTCACAATGATTAGATTCTCTCACTTATTTTTTTTTTCCTAGTGATATTGTGGTCCAGATAGTAGATGCTCGAAACCCACTGCTGTTTAGATGCGAAGATTTGGTAAGTAAAGAATAAGTTATCTGTAATATGTCAAAATCCACTGTACTGTCATGTATATCTAAAAAGAACAAAAAATAAATAAATAAAAGTTCAATTCAACACCTTTGGGGTAGCAAAGAAAGACAGCATCACTCACAACAATCCCTGTAGGCAAGCATTCTGTACTCATTAGCTTTGTTTGTTTAGGCCTCTCTCTCCTCCCAAGGTCAGGAGCTTGCATAATGCCACTGTTTAGACAGATGTTTTCTCTTCTGAAACAATTGTTCCATTTATAGGAAGGCACAAACACTTGCATGAGTTTTCTAGCTTTTAGTTCAGAAGCTACTTTATTAATAGACATTTGCCAGTTTCCCATTTTTCAAGAGACACCAATGAAAATAACATTTTACTTATTTTTTTCATATTCCATTCACTTCACTTTTAAATCCATGTTGTTAAGTTTTCCCTTCTTACACTTCACTTCTTATTTCCTGTAGAATTTCACAAGGAAATTATGTTTATAAAATTTCACAGGGTATAATAACTAAGGTATAAAGATTACATGAAATGATATATTACATATTTAAAGTAATAAAACACTATATTCTGTGAGGTGTTCATATTTCAATTGAGAACCATAGTTATACAGACTTTTTTTGTTTTTTTTAAAGAGAGAGAGAGAGAATTTTTTTTTTATATTTATTTTTTAGTTCTCGGCGGACACAACATCTTTGTATGTGGTGCTGAGGATCGAACCCGGGCCACATGCATGCCAGGCGAGCGCGCTACCGCTTGAGCCACATCCCCAGCCCTATATAGATTTTTTGTTTAACTAGTCAGTAACAAAAATCTTAATCGTGAAACTTATTTTCAAAGCTTAATGAAAGATTAATTAATAGAATGTACCAAGATTTAAAATCTTTAAACTAGCAAGCGATTTACTGTGGAGGGGGTGCAATTTTTAAAAACACTTTTATTGGGTATCTTTAAAATAACTAATATTTTACTTGTTTGAAGAGATATTTCTGAGTGTTCTTGTCTCACCTAGGAATGTTATGTGAAAGAGACAGATGCTGAGAAGGAGAATGTTATTCTGATAAACAAGGCTGACTTGTTGACTGCTGAGCAACGGAGTGCCTGGGCCTCGTATTTTGAAAAAGAAGATGTGAAGGTTATTTTCTGGTCAGCTTTGGCTGAACCTGCTCAGTTGAATGAGGACTCTAAGGTAACCTGGAGCAATTTCTCAGGGTGTTTGCAGGGAGAATTTTGGTGTTTTGTTTTTCCCATTGGAGATTTGTGGGAACTGGTTTTGTTTTTTCAGGGGTTTTCCCCCTAAATACTAATAGTAGGATGACCAATAGAAGAGTGAATCACAAAATTACTTTTTTTGTAGTTTTAAAATATTCTAACATCCCTATTGTTGCACACTGATATTTTAAATTTTTTTCTTTTTAAATAAGACATTTTATAGGAAGTCTCATAATGACCTTGTAATTACTTCTAAGAGAAATTAGAACAGAAAGATATAGTAACATCTCAGGGTTTGATCAGAATCCCTTGACTTTGTTTTGAAAACAAAGAAATTAACCCTAAACTTAGATATACCCTCTTATTTCCTTAATCTTTTAACCCAAATTTTACAAAAATAGGGCTTTTTTCCTAATAAGATAATAACTATGAGAAGAAATTAATAGATTCATGTTTTATATTAATAGACATTTACAAGTAAATGTTTTTTTCCCTATCATCCTTTCCTTTTCTCCTGTCAGTCACACATCCATTTAGTGGGTATGCAGCTAGGTTCTGTGAATACAGCATCCTCCTCTGGGTGTACTCACAATTTAGCAAGCTCTAACCTCCAGTTCACCATCTTGTTAGTCATGTTACCTCTATGTGACTGCTTTCAATGACAAGGTCCCAAAACCAGATAGCTCATTCCTTTTCAGTCCCTAAATTCAGAAAGTTCTTCCCTTAGTGAAGCTGTGTTAACCCCCTTAATCTTTGATCTGAGCACTTGTCCTATGCCCTCTTGGTTCCCTTGACTACACACTGTAATATCTGCTGTTAAATTCTTTATAGACACCCTCTTTGGAGCCCCCATTCTGAATGCCTATCTGCTTGTGTCAGGATTATGATTAAAATTGGCAGTATTACTCCAGAAGTATATACAGAAGTATATTGCCCAGAGCATATACAGAAAGGTGCACATTTTTTGACATCAGGCTACTTTTATTAATTCGAACTTTCTGTTAATTTCATCTGCTTCCAGGAGTTAAATTATGCTGTTTACTTATATTAACCTGTGGTCAACTGAATTTCTCAAATAGTTTTTTAAAAAGAGAATTTAGCAAACTATTTTTACATGTGGAAAAAGTTTAATTTTACCTCAACTTGGGATAGTAACATTAATGGTTTGGGATCAAGGTAGAGTTTATTTTTTAAAGGGCAGTTTTTCTTTTCTCTCATTCTGGCTTTGAATCATCTGCAGACTTTGTGTGTTTACACTTCTATACAGTCTATATATTCTTCTAAGTCATTGATAACATTTTTAAACATAATCAAACCAGAGATAGGAGTTCTGTGACCTTTTCTTGACCTACTAATCACTCTTTACCAAGCTTTTTTTTTTTTTTGTACCAGGGATTGAACCCAGGAGTACTCTACCACTGATCTATATCTCCATTACTTTTTATTTTTTGAGACAGGGTCTTACCAAGTTGCTAAGGCTAGCCTCCATTTGCAGACCTCCTGCCTAGCTTCCAGAGTTATTGTACCTTCAGCATTTTTATGTGGTGAAGATAAGCATACTCACAAGAATAAATAAAAACTAACCCATAAAAGTGATATTAATAGAATCTTACTCCCTACCAGGCTTGTTTTTCTGAACACATTACATATTTTGTTCATTAAGTCTTCTCAGCAGCATGCAGGTACTTCCTACTCTCTAGCAATTGGGCTCCGTCTTTTGCCTACATGCCCACTATTTCTATTGTTTCAAATCTGTCCTGGAAAGAAGTGTCTTGAAGAAGTGTTTAATTAAATATTTATCACTTTATGGTTCTGTCCTGATAAAACAAGTCAATAACCCTATCAGAAATGGAAAAAAAAATATTAGTTTCTATGTCTTTAACATTCTTCTAAGTAATAGATTCTAGAGAGAAATGAAATTGTTTATATGATGTGTTCTCAGGAAACCATGGGTGCTTCCTATTAATGTCTGTCTTATTTTTAAGGCTCATAAGCTAATCTGTGGTTTTTTCAGTTATTAGCCTATGCATTAACATTGCTTGACTTACGGATATTTTTTTCTGATTTTTAAAGTGATGTGCCATTTGCTCCTCCCAAGTCTTTTAAAATCTCTTCTCCATAATTTCTCAGGTTGTGTTTTCATATCAGTAGCCATATCTAATTGGGTATTGAATATAAAACTTATTAAAAATGGCTTGACGTTCACTGCTTATTTGCCTTTCTGAAGAGTTTGGTTCTTCCTCTAATTGTTCAACCCTTTATTTAAATATATATAACTCTTTTTAGTTGAATACAATTCTCTGGGTCATCTATTAATAATTACATTTTCCAAAGGCTTGACTTTCTCATTCTTTTAATTTTTAACATAATTATTACAAAGTCCTTTTGTTGTCTTTAGCATTTTTTCTAAAGCTGAACTGCTTCTAGCCAGATTTTCTACCACACATTTCTTGATTTGTAGTTCACGTTCTTGTTTTTATATTTCTTTCATATTTTAAAATGATTCAGAAAAGATAAGTGAGGACACACTGACTTCTTTAGATTCATTGCTTATTTATCATAAAAATTATTTCTAATTTTAGGATTCTCTTACAGGCCAGATTTCTTTTTGAGTGGCCATTGTGAAATCATATCTATTTTTCCTCACATGTTGTTGTTCTTTCTTCTTTCCTAACTTTTAGGATACCTGTTTGACTGTGTCCTCCTTGGTGGCTGTTACTCATTCTAGTATTAAATCAACTTAGAAATGATACAAAACATGTGTCACTTTCAAGTCTAACCACTTCACACTTGTAGGTAAGAATTAGTGCTACGGTAGAACTTCCTATCTGCTATGTTGTTCAAGAGGGATTCAGAAGAATTAACTCACCCATGAGTAGTGATTTTTATCTTTCTCTTTTCCAAAGGAAATCTTTCATTGATAATGAATCATCAACTTCTGGATTGAAGTTTTGCTTCTCTGCATTTCACACTCAGGGGTCTGTGCTCCATGGTACTTTTTGACTAATTAAAGGCACTTAAAGAGTAGCAGGGCTGGGAGTGTCCCAGTGAGAGCAGTTGCCTAGCATGGACACAACCTTGGGCTCCATCCCTAGTACCACAGACACAAAAGAATAGCCATTTCCTTAAACATTAAGAAATGTAAATGAAGCTCAAAAGTTTCTTGCTTTGTTCAAAAAGGAGAATGTTAAAATGTTTTATTGTTAATGAAAAATGCTTTTATTCTACAGCCCACTGCAAAATTATGTACTGCCAAAGAATTCATCTTAACATAGGGTTTTCCAGTTGCTTTAAGATTTATTTTAAATTAGAAAAGAAATTCATAACATTTGTACAAAGTTCAAATTATGCAGAAATGCATATGGTAAAAAGTAAAGATCTGCTACTCCTGCCCTCCTAGAGGGCACCACTATTGGTGACTGGCTGCATGCACATCCTTGCATAGAAAGGCTTACTTTCCCTCCTCCTTGTATTTGCCTTTTCCAGTCTCCAGCATAATTTTCTTGTCCTCTGTTCATCTTACTTACAAAACCGGCTCATTGAGTATCTTCACTAAAGTGTAAAGTGCAGCTATACACTTCTGAACTTTTGTGATTTTTTTTTTTTTTCCCCCAGCTGGAACAAGTGAACCAAGATGCTGGAGAAGCCAACACATCTGAATCCGAAAACTCCAGTTTTGAGGAGAATGAAATTCCACACAGAGAGACCGACCATCTCTCAGACAGGGATTCTTTCTCACTTAATGATTCCTCTAGTGATGAAGATGATAGTGAATATGAGGACTGTCAGGAGGAAGAGGAGGAAGATTGGCAGACATGCTCAGAAGATAGCTGCCCTGATGAGGAAGCCCATGCTCAGGGCTGGAAAAAAAGCTGCACTGTGGATTCTGAGGTTCAGGGAAGGAAAACCCCACAGAGGAGGCAGATACACAATTTTAGCCACCTGGTGTCAAAGCAGGAATTACTGGAGCTCTTTAAGCAGCTGCACACTGGGAAGAAGGTGAAAGATGGACAACTTACTGTTGGACTGGTAAGATGAAATACATTATTAAATTATTACTACCTAAGTGTCTATTCCCCATCCTTTGTTAGCTACACAAGGACCCCAAAGAGCAGTTAGCCTTCTGGCATCATAAGGAGCATATCACCATCTTATTGCCCACTGGCATCATGGAATGAAGCAGTGTGTTGGCTTGAGGGGTGAACTCCCTCAAGGCTTATGTTACACACTTGTTATGTTAAATATATTATCCAATCTCCTTCCAATTCAACTCTTAATGACTTGCAAATTACCAAGAGAAACTAAAATGAAAGCATTTAATATCTAGTTCAGTATTCTTTTGGCATCTTGAGGTCCTTGCCAACTTATACTGTAAATGTTCCTGATGCATATTTGGGAGAATTCCAACATCTTAGCCAGGCAAAACATGACAGATGCTTTAGTTGTGTAACCACTGCATAGCACAAAGGAGAAAATAGATCACATCCCAGCATATATATATCCTAATTCCAGAGGCTGTGAAAGTCCCTATACCCCAAAGGGAAAAAGCATAGCTCTAACTGGCTCCAGCCTTAGCTAAAGAAATGTAAGATGTTAGAGAAGGTGTTTATTATAAAGATCTTCTATCCAGGAGAACAAAGAGTAGAAGAAGGGAGGTCATGGCGGGTTTGGAGTCTTGGGGCTCTTAAGTTGCATGCCTGCATATCAAGTAAAGCTAATCCGAATTATGTTTGAACCTTCTATAGCTCCACTCAACTTACTTCCCTGGCCCTGCAACAACAACAACAATAGAAACTTGCTTAAAATGACTAAAGCAGTTGACATTTTCCCCAGTCATGCAGTAGAACTTTGGAAAAGTTACTTAATTTCTTAGAGTTTTAAGGCTTCATTCTGTGTTTTATTACCAAAAATTAATTTCTGCATGCATCAGAAAGCTCAGCTTCTCAACAAGTGTTTTTCATTTAATGAAACAAAACCCAGCCTCTCTCACTTTCTGAATGTGTTACTCTAGAAATACTGAAAATAGGCCTTGGAATATAGCTCAGTGTAACACTTTAGCATACACAAGATCCTGGGTTCAATTCCTAGTACTGCAAAATAACTAAACAACTTTAACATAATAAAATCCATATGTGAAAAAGCCATAGTAGAAATCCCAGAAAAGCAAGTTGGGGTTGTGGCTCAATGGTAGAGTGCTTGCCTAGCACATGTGAGGCACTGGGTTAAATCTTCAGCACCTCATAAAAGTAAATAAATAGGGCTGGCGATGTGGCTCAATTGGTAACATGCTCACCTGGCATGCGCGGGCACTGGGTTCGATCCTCAACACCACATAAAAATAAAAATAAAGATATTGTGTTCACTGAAAACTAAAAAATAAATATTAAAAAATTCTCTCTCAAAAAAAAGTAAATAAATAAAAATAAAGATATTAAAAGAAATACTGAAAAAGGTTAATTTACCCATTCTAAAAACATTTTTTGATCACCTGCTACAGGCCAGGCATTCTGCTGGGCCCAAATTAAAAAGTTATTGAAAATTTGAAATAATCATATTGTGATTTAATGTCTGTCTGGTACTCATCTTCACTTCTTTATGGAAGATACAATGGGAACAGTGAAATGCCTGTAAATGGGGCAGTGAGATTTACTTAGGTTAACAGCAAAAGCTATAGAAATACAGTTTGTATAAATTAGCTATTCATCATGGAGATGAGACTGAATAAACCCACCCAAACTGCAGGAGAAAGGGGGGTCAAGGAACACACAAAGCATCTATTTCAAACAATCTTCTAAAGTAACCAGATGCTTATGCTAGTCTTGCCGCCATTTATGTGCTATCTTTGGGTCTTTGGTAACTACTGTGCCTTTTCAGTAATCTCTGAGTCTCTTCCAGGTGGGCTACCCTAATGTTGGTAAAAGTTCAACCATCAACACCATCATGGGCAACAAGAAAGTATCTGTGTCTGCCACACCTGGTCACACCAAGCATTTCCAGGTATTTCTACAGCCCCTTGCCATTCACATACCACTCCTCTTTCCCCTCATCTGCTATATATCCAACATAAACCTCTTGTCTTTCAGACTCTGTATGTGGAGCCTGGCCTATGCTTGTGTGACTGCCCGGGCCTGGTGATGCCATCCTTTGTGTCCACTAAGGCAGAGATGATTTGTAATGGAATTCTCCCAATTGACCAGATGAGAGATCATGTCCCACCTGTATCACTAATATCCTTTCTGCTCCAGAAAAAACTGGTTGTTTGGCACATACTAAAGCTTCAGGGATTGGGGGGCAGGGGGGCATTGCCTTTCAATGTCATTTGAAGAATTCAGGTCTGATATTTTAAAGACAATAAATAAAATACCAAGAACCTACACAAGTTTACATCAGGACTTAAGTATTAGAACCTTATCTCCTGATTTCATCAACCTATAAAAGTGGAAGAACCCCAGCTTTAGATTCTCAGCCCCAAGTTGCAAACCTTTATCATATTGTCATTTGACTATTTGAGTGACCTTAGAAAAACTTAATTAACTATCTGAATTCTTACCCTTTTCTATGAAATGAGAACAATATCTACCTCACAGCTGATGTTAATAATGTTTTCTGATGTTTACTAAGTATTAGTTAATACTCATAAGTCAGTCCTTGAGGCAGGTATTGCTATTATACCCATTGGACAGAAACAAGTTAACCATTTACCCAAGATCTCACAGATGGTAGTAGGTTAGGAACTCCACTGCCTCTCAGCACCATGAGTTAAATGTGAAGCAGCATCAAGGACAGTACCTGGCCATCCTAAGTGAATATAGTACAAATAGCAACCTGCATAAACCTTAGAATGCTGCATATAT